AAGCTGCTGCCTCTTTGCCCTAACTGGTCTGGCTCAGCGGATAGAGCCTCGGCCTGCGGACTCAAGGGCCCCAGGTGCGATTCCAGTCAAGGGCATGTACCTGGGTTGCGGGCACATCCCCAGTAGGGAGTGTTCAGGAGGCAGCTGATCGATGTTTCTAACTCTATCTCTCTCCCTTCCTCTGTGTAAAAAAATCAATAAAATATATTTAAAAATAAAAAAACACTAGCAGTTTCAAAGGCAACTATGTATCGGCAAAGGTAAAGTCACCACTTGAACCCTTGTTATCCGCGAGGAAAGAGGTGAAGTGAAGGAACCTGTCCACAGGGAAGGAATTAAGCCCATCCGGTAACAAGGGGTTCAGCGCATAGAACTTGGCACCTCCCTGACCCACTTCTGATGCCACAAATATGCTAATTACCTCTGGTAGTCGAATCTGAAAATACCTCTCAGGGTCTGGACAGTCCATTTATGCTCCCTCTCTAGTTATACTAGAAGTTTCTCTTCCAAAGGCCCTCAACTGTTGGAGGATAAGGCCATGCAGGCTCCCTTCAACAGGTCTGGGAAGGAAAGGAGAAGATGCGATTCAGCCTCCAGTGGCTGCAGGAAAACAAAGTTGAATTAGGGTTATTCTGGTTTTCACTTGCACCCTAAAAGAGGGTTTGGAGGAATGAGGAATGACAGTTCTGTGTTAGAAACTTTGAGTGTAGTGGTTTATTATTCACTCTGAAGGAAAAAGAAACCTTATTTTAAAAATGGACACAGCTGAGTGGCTAGCAATTATGGGAATAACTTTTAAACATCACCTGTAATCAGATAGTGCAAATTAAAACAACAATGCATAACACCCAGCAGATTATCAAAATCAGAAGTTAGGTTTGCCAAGCATGAGAGGTGCAGGAACTTACTTTTATGTGGTGGTTTACTGATGGTGGTCTACACAGACATTTAAAGAACCATCTAATTTAGTAAAACTGGGTGTACCCAGGCCTGTGCCCCAAGGAAATTCTACAGAATCATAAGAATATTCATAAGAATGTTGTTTGTGATAGCAAAAAGGTATAGATAATTTAAGGCAATGAATAAATAAATAAAATACTCTAAATAAAATACTTGTTTCTAAGGTCAAGAAACAAGTAAATAGCGTGGGGGGGCATATGCAATACTTTCAACAATAAAGATTTTTTTAAAAAAGGTGGGAAAATTCCTGGGCAAGTGGAATGGGGAAATAGATGAGATAAGCAAGGCCAAACAATTTAAACAACTTACAGCTAGTGGATTGAAAGACTTACCTTCCTAACTGAGGACACGTGAGAACAAATGGTTTCTATCTCTCCTCCCTAAGCAGAGAATAAAAAGCTTAAATGCCTCTGCTCGGGGAGATGGAGAACAGAGATCTTTTCTTCTTCTTACTCTCCAGTGAGTTAAAAGCAGCCCCACCTTGGCTCACTTCGTTCTAAGGTTTTTATGGAACCAAAGCAGACTGCCACCTTGGCTCTCCCCTGCTGCTTCTACAAACCTTTCCTTTGTTTCACTGTCCCCAGCTTTAATAAATGTACTTTAAAAGGAAAAGGAAAAGGAAAGGAAGAAAGAAAGAAAGAAAGAAAGAAAGAAAGAAAGAAAGAAAGAAAGAAAGAAAGAAAGAAAGAAAAAGAAAGGAAAGAAGAAAAATGAAGTAAATGGCAAAGACAAGACCTGAACCGTTATTCAGTCCAAACCTGGACACCTGTGCTATGATCTCCAACCATTTACTTCCAAATTACCTGTAATAAACGCCAAAGGTACTAAATCTGAGTACGTTTTACACACAGTTTGCAAAACACCAGCGGCTGAGTCCGTCCAGGCTGCTGTGGCAGAATTCCACAGACCCTGTGGCTTAAACAGCAGAAATTTAATCCTCACAGTTCTGGACATTGACAAGTCCAAGAACAAGGCCCCGTCGGACTTACTGTCTGGTGAGAGCCGCTTCCTGGTCCAGGCGCAGCCGTCTTCTCCATTTGTCCCCTGAGATGGAAGAGGTGATGGGTGGCGGGGTCCTCTGACAGGGGCTCGAACCCAGACAAGAGGGCTCTGAGTTTATGACCTAAGCAACTCCCCAAGGCCCCACCTGCAAACATCAGCACATTAGAGATTAGGTTTCAACCCAGGAATTTTGATGAGACACCAACTTTGTCTATAGCAGAGAGTGATTCAAAGGACAGAAGTGTAGGCACTATGTTCGCCACCCCTGTCCCTATTCTAGAGCCAGGGAGGTGACACAGCAGGAGAGCTCTACACCAGGACTCTTCACCCTCATTCTTGTCCTGTCGACATCCAGCCCTGAGGATATTAGTAAGGGGAGGTACAGGAAAGAGAATCGGAGCTTCTGCGAGGTCTTATCTGGTGTATTTCAATCATGAAAACAGCGAATTTTAACAGAAGCTTAAGAGGGAACATGAAGACCATCAGTGGTCATATGTA